AGCGTATGTACATCTTAGTGCGGCGCATCTAATAAAAAATATAAAAAAAAAATTCGCAAAAAAATATTGATCAAAATACCCTCAAAACTTTTTGAGGGTATTTTGATCAATTTTTTCATGTAAAATATTTTTTTGATATTTTTCGTAGATTCGCCTATTTTTTATGAATACACGCTCCAAATTTCAGGTCATTCCGATTTGTAGAAAAAAAAATGAAAAATGAAACACTACCTGATGATCGTGACCGTGCGATGAACTTTGATTGTCCATACGATAAACTTTGGACAATGATGAGGGTAGACGAAATCACTGTTTATTTTCGCCTATAGGCGTTTTGTAGTATCTTCCATATATATATGAGCATGTATCCTTTGAAAGTTTTGTTAGAGCAAGTACATCGCATGTTACCCGATTTCAAAAAAAGAAAAGAAAAGAGGTACATCGCATGTTACATTTGCTGGATGCCTGACATGTGTATACATTGCAGGCTTGTTCATAACAACAGACCTCTTACAGTGATGAAACTCCCTTAGTAATTTACAACTACCCTACTGTAGACATGGAACATTTCTAATATATAACCGTTTTGACTTGATTATTTTTGTGCGTAACCCCTCTCTGAGTTTTTTGTGGAGTGATATTGGAATAGTTCCCATAGAGAGAGCGTAGGTATCATCTTTTATCAAGTTGGAATACAACTCGATCGTCACACGTATTCTTTATATTGGATAATGGGAGACATAAGAAGCATTGCCTTTTTGTGAGGGGTAACCATGACATCATTTTTTTATTCAATGATTTTCCTTGTAGTTTCCAATGGGCTGAAATTTTCTATGGGCCAGGGTGCTGTGACTCACTCAGACTCCGCCGAGTAGCTAGGCCTCTCGCCAATGGGGAGGCGAGTTGGGGCAAAGTCAATCAAAAATACATAAAAAAATTAAAAAAAGAAATATTAAAAAATCTAAAAAAATAGAAATCCATCTAAAAAAATAGAAATCTAACTGATATCCTATTTCCTAGCCAAAATATTAGAGAAAGAAAGAGTTGGAGAGGGATAGGGGTTCTAAAATTTTGGTGAGAACAAAGGTGACCCATAAGTCACTTTTTCTGTCTTCCTCTTGCATCTTCCTGTCTTCCTCTTTGTGTCTTCCTCTTGCATCTACTTTCTTTTTTTTTCAGAAAAAAGCTCCAATCCACTCACCACTAATACCAAGATCTTAGAGAGAAAGAGAGAAAGTTGTTGAAGAGTTTAGAGAGAGAGGAAGGCCACTTGCCCAGGGCCCTCTCCTCTTCTGGGCACATGGCCAACCTCCACCCCCTTCTCTTTTCTTAGTTTTTTGCCTGTCTTTTTGGTTTTTTGAAGTGCCTGATGCTCAGGTGAGTCCATGCACTCGCCCGAGTAACTCCTCTTATGCGAGGATCGAGTCCTTGGCCCCAGACAAATTGTGAAACACTGATATGAACATTTGTTTTTCCCCTAGACCCGTATTATCTTTTATTCTAATATTTGGTGCATCAAATTAGTATGATTGGTGTGTGAGAGAGAGAGCATCAAATTAGTGTGATTGGTGTGTGTGGGAGAGGGAGAGAGCGAGAGAGATCTTTCACTAATTTCTTGTCTTGTTTTTCTTCTAATGCAGTGGGCGGTTAATAAAGACATTGGCAGACTTGAAACGTGGGCATGCGAGCGTGACACCCATTGAGATTGCCTACAATATATTGTCCTTCATCGTCGCCATTGTCATGACTGTTGCTTTTACGGTGTATGGGAAGAGAGCATTAAACAATCTCAAGAAGGAAACATCCAACATTGAAGATGGAGCAGCTCCTCATAGAAACCCTGCTGATCTCGTAGAGTTAGAGAAGCTTCCTCTTGAAAGACCCAAGAATATGAAAATCTTTTCTCTCTTGCCTTGATCTAGTGAAGGCTAGGGTAACATTGACGTGAAAATTTTTCTTTCTTTACTTTTTCCCTTAACAGATTTGATCCCCATATTCTTCTGATCATATAATCAGATCACTTGTAAAGGTGTTGAGAAAATGACTGCCTTGTGTGCAGTCTGTCGAGGCATAAATAAGAAAAGAAAAGAGAAAAGAAACCGGGGACAAAAAAGATGGGGATATGGATATTTAGGTTCTACTCCCCGTGATATTGGTATTTGGGCTGCAGCAAGGTCATGTGAAATCTCGGTTTGTAAGGGGCTGGCTCTCTGTATATTCTACTTGCACAGAAATTTGTATACATTGTTGTAGGTTTTTCATTGCTGGATTTTATTACCAAATTTAACTGAAAAATAGAAAGAATTGTATCTTAGGAACGCTTTGGAAGAATTGGACGCATTGAAATTTAGGCAATTATATAAATTTTTTAAAAATTATATAAATCCCAAAAATATAAGAGATTTTGTTTGTAATGCATTTTTTAAATTTTTTCATCATTCTGGCAAGATTGGAAATTGTTTGATCCATTAATAATTATTTTTACATTTTCCCTTCTTTTTCTTATTTGAAAAATTTTAAAAATAAATCTGGGGCACAAATTGATTATTTAAAATCCATATGTTTCATTAATTTTCAACTAAATTTGGATGTGTTTTGCTTAATCATGTTTTAAATTTGTTTTTTATATTTTATTATAATTTTTGGTTTTTTTTTTATATTTCTAACACTTTTTATACTACCTGATACTTGCCTTGTTAGGCCGGTTAACCAAGCCAGTTTACCGGTTAGTACTGAGTAGCTGCTTCTGGTTCCATATTCGGTTAACCGTTGCTATTCGATTGTTTTGTACATTGGAATCTCCTACAAAATGTCGCCTAAACCGAAGCAACGCACCTTTACTTACCCAAAAATAACGCACCTGTACTTACCCAAAAAAAAGCGCACCTTTTGCCCCATGCATCTCCTACTCCTTCAGCCTCTCGGTAAATTTGTGGACTCTCTCTCTCTCTCTAGCTTTGGTCGCTGCTGGTCGACTTGAATCCAGACCTAACCCAGATCCAATTTAGGTCTAGGGTTTAGGATTTGGACCTGACCTAGTTCGGGTCTGGGGCAGTTTTGGGGTTAGAAACTTACTCCTCGTGGTCCATAACATTTGCCAAGATTAAATCTTCGGTTGTATTTTGGGCAATCAACTATAGAAGTTTCAAAAGGATTCCTCCATCTGCCTTTTATTAGGATTGGTTGCAATCCTTCAATTTAGTCGTAAGCTCCAACCAGGGGTGACAAATTGGAGGTTACGAGACCCAGGTAGTTTCAAGCGTAACTTTAATGGTTGCTCCTTGGGCAATCCCGACCTTAACCACCTTGGTTCAACAAATGCCTCTTTTCTCTAAAAACTCGGCCATGCCGATTCTATGGAAGCAAGGCGACCCCTCTACTCGAGGGGTGCTCAAGCTTTGTCACCTCCACAAGATAATTTCCATTACCATTGAGGGAGATTCCAAGAATATCGTTGCCTAGGCTTCAAACTCATCCTCCTCTTTGGGTCTTGGCTCACATTTTGGATGAAATTAACCACTTTTACAGAGATATGCTCGTCTTATGGAAGCATACGTGGCGGGAAACAAACTAGGTAGCGAACACCCACGCTAAGGAGGCGGTGACGCAGGACGACCCGCGACAACTTTGTGGATCGTCTCCTTTTTGTCCATTGCTTTGTTTATTTATCATTGTAACTTTTAAAAGGATAGCTTTTTTATTCTCTCTTGCCCCTTGTAGACAGGGGATTTTGTATTTAGAGCTTATAGAGTATACTTTTTCCGTTATTGTACGCTCTTGTACTATTGATTAAAAGTTAACATTCTCAAAGAAAACCTAAAAAAATATTTTGAAAAAATATTCAAAAAAAAAAAATTCACACGTACACACAACATACATATATAGGAAAATTATTAAAATATTAAATATTCAAGAAATAGTATATATATATATATATATATAAACCTAACTGTCCAAATTCAAGTTGGGCCAATCTGACGGTCACGATCTTATTTCATATTTAAACTTTAACTTTTTTTTTTTTTAAAATCGAAATATGTTGGGCTCATATGTAGTTGTCAGCCCACTAGCTGACTACGGTAAAGGCTCAATGACCTAGATTGAATCTGTGCAGATCCAAGGGTCACAATTGCATTTCGTATTTAAATTTTATTTTTTCTAGAAATCCAAATCATTTGAAATTTTGACGGTATATTCGTAAAAACTAGGTGGATCTAATAAAATATTAAAAAAATAATTTATTTACAAAAATTAAATAGATCAAAATACCTCTGAAATCTTTCAGGGGTGTTTTGGTTAATTTACTTTTATGTATAATTTCTTTTAATATTTTTATTAGGTGTGCTTTTATGAGAGTGGATGCCCTAAATTTCATATGATTTAGATTTGTAAAAAATAATTAAAATTCAAATGCGAAATGCAGTCGTGTTCGTCAGATCGGCCTAAATTCAATCCGGGTCATTGGCCTTACCATTTTCTATCAGCCCATATATATATATAGGGTGCGATTTGTATAGAACCGAGGCTCTAAACAATCAAATTAGAGCCCACCTTCAAATAGTGTCGAGAAATGTGGTTTCAATACTGGAAATCTTTGATTAACCTTACAAAATATTTTCATATTTAGTTATAATATTTAAAGCTTCAAAAATAGTGTGGATCGAGCTAATCTATGAAAACTTGAATAACTTAAAAATTGAAAATCCAAAAATGCATTACAAGATGCACTATTTCCAAAACTTGAAGCCCTTTTTTTTTTCTCAAGTCCATGCATCTCTAGATGATCAATTTGAGAATATTTGGGCATCAAAACAACTCCTTTTAGTGAAATTTTTGAGGTAAGCTCTAATTTGATTGTTTAGAGCCTATGCTCTATAAAAACTTTTCTCATATATATATATATATATATATATATATATATATATATATATA